TGGTTCCTGGCTCAGTGGCCCAGGGCAGGTCTCCAGACTAAGAGTCTCTATGAAGTAAGAAAGGATTCTTTGCAAACTGTTTCAGAAGGGATCTTTACGTGTGGCACATTATAATTTATATTCAAGTTGGTATAGTTTTTCTGTAGGTACACACTTTTTACTTAAAAAAGTGGAATTATCCAGGGAACCCTCTTTGGCTAAAGAATGCTTTGATAGTACAGTAAACACTCAGTGAAAGGCTAATGTTTCCTCTGCAATTCCTCTGTTTCTTGGGAGCAAAGACCAAGCATTCTGCTCCTATACAGATTTTTTTCTTTGGAAACCTTATGGGTCAGTTCTTCTCTGTTCTGTTGAATTGTTTTCAGTTGTAATACACTTAAACCACCACCACCACCACCAGTTATCTTTTGCTTGAAAGTGCCCAAGACCAAGAAAGCTCTGCAAAGGATATTTTGCACTGTTTTCTTTTTTGGAGTTCTGGTAGCCTAGTGGTAAGGAGATGTATTGCCATCTTAGAGGCAGGAGGTTTGAATCCACTAGCTGATCCTTAGAACTATGGAGTAGTCTCCTCTACCCATGTGATTTACAGCCTCTGAAAACTCACTTGGAAGGTCAGTTAGTTTATTCCTGCTTGACATCATGTGACAACTACTTGCTTGGCTTGTAGATTTCATGAGTTTATTATATTGCAGGTATTCAGTACATTTTTATAGACCCAGTGATTGGCTATTTCAGTTAAAAAGAAGAAGTACAGTCACTTTTAAAAGAGGGGAGCGAACTGGGGGGGAGGGGTAGGTGGGGAGAGAAGTGCAGCAATGAATGAATGGAAATCCAGAATCTCTGTAAATGTTCATTAAGATTATTAAAAAAACAAAAACAAAACCAAAAAACCCCAGTGACTTTGCAAAAATAATATTGTCTTTTCTGCCCTAGCAAGATTGTTTTTTAGACTGGTGAGTATAAAATGCATTGAATATTAATTTAAAAGAAGAAAGACAAATAAGCTATCAGCTGGATCTCATAGTTTTGGGCTTGCAAACAATAGAGCAATAATCCTACTTGGTTATTTAGGATCTCTACTTCCTGTACAAGACTTAGATGAAACAAGGTCTTCTCCAAGGAACCTATTTGACCTGTGAGCAGCATGTTGAATTAGAGGTTGTGGACGTTTTTGCTTTGACCGTTCCTTATATTGCTCTGTTACGTGAGGAGATACGTTTCAGAATACTTTTTTCTTCTCAATAGATTAACTTCAGTGTTTTCAGATAAAAATTTTCAAGGTAGTTAAAATTTAGTTAGGAAAAGTTAAAGAACCAAGTTATGAATATTTATATTTATCTTTTGGAAAAGAAATTAAACCCTTACAGGGCTGTGTACCAATTCTTTAAAAAACTAGTTTCACTTGATGCTTCAAAATAAAAAAGAATAATACACACCTTTTGGAAACTATTGTTGGCAGGATTCTACCTCTCTGTATTCATTACAGTGCCTTAATGACTTATTCTGCTAGTAGCTTTTAGGTATAGTTTATACTTTAGAATTTTTATTTTAACATATTTAATGGGTAAGGGCTTTTATGTATTTCTTCAGAGGACTCAATTTTGATTTTGTTCTAAGAATAATACTGCTAACTTGTTCAGATTTTAAAGTTTAAAAAGTTCCTAATTTAAAGGTAAATTATAAATAACCCATTCATTTAGTATAATTATACCCTTCATTGCCATTAAGTTAATTCTAACTCAATAGAAAATCAATACAACAGAGTAAAACTGTCGCCCCCCCCCCCGCCAATAGAGTTTCCAAGGCTGCAATCTTTAAAGATGCAGACAGCCACATTTCTGTCCCAGTGAGCAGCTGGTGTATTATTTGTACCACTAATTTTTCATTTAGCAGCTGTGGGCTTAATAACTGCCCCATCAGGTTGTTGTTAGATGCCATTGAGTAGAGTATAACTCGTAGTGACTGTATGAACAACGGATCTGAACCATATCCTATCCTGTGTCAACTGCACAATCTCTGACATACTAAAGCCCATTGCTGCAGTCACTGTGTCACTCAATCCACCGAGTTGACAGTCTTCCTCTCTTTTGCTGATCCTCCTCCTTTCCAAGTGTGATGTCCCTCTCCAAGGAATAGCCTCTTCTATCAACATGCCCATAGCATGTGAGATGAAACTTTATTGTTTTTGCCTCCAAGGAGCACTCTGGCTGTACCTTCTCCAAGACCTGTTTCTTTCTTCTTTTGGTAGTCCATAGGCTGTTTTGTAATCTTCTCCAATACCATAGTTCAAAGGCATAAGTTTAAATGCATCAATTCTTCTGATGTCATCTTTATTCATTGTCCAGTTTTGAGATGCATAACAAGTAATCGAAAAGATCATGGTCTGAATCAGGTGCACCTCAGTCCTCAAGCTGACATCCTTGCTCCTCAATAATTTAAAGACCCCCTGACTGTAGACTTTTCCAGTGCAGTACGTACTCTTTTTTCCTGAATACTGATACCAAAGGTATTGATTGTAGATCCAAGTAGCAACAAACAAGTCTGCTGGTGTTGAGTCACAATGCTTTGTAAAGGCCCGTCCATGGATTTCTGAAGCTGTTAATCTTTATTGGATGAGACTGCCCATCTTTTTCCTGCGCAGAAGTTGGTGAATTACAACCACTAACCTTTAGGTTAGCAGTCCAACTGTAAAAAGAGCAAGGGCTCCATGAGGACAGCCATACCTGACCTTTACCAACTCCACAGAGGAAACTGTCTCTGTCAACAACATCAGCAGCACAAAACCAATTCCTATGAGGTCAGACATGTTCCCCACAATCCTGTTCTTATTTCTCTCACCCTAACATCAATCTTACTGCTTTACCGGGTCCAGAATCTCTTGCAATAACTCATACAACACACAGAACTATATTAGTGAACTCAAAAGCTGGTTAGTAGACACAACCCTGCTTGCTGAAACTGAGGAGGACCTCATGCACTTGCTACGGAGGGTCAAGGACTGCAGCCTTCCATATGGACTGAGGCTCAATGTCAAGAAGACAAAGATTCTCACCACTGGACCAATTGGCAGTGTCAGGATGGATGGTGAAGAGATTGAGATTGTTCACAGCTTTAGTTTGCTCGGCTCCACAGTCAACACTCTTGGCACCAGCAGTCAGGAAATCAAAAAGTGTATCGCGATGGGACAGTCTGCTGTTAGGAACCTCTCTAAAGTACTCAGGAGCAACGGTGTCTCTCTGGAGACTAAGGTGCGCCTGATACAGGCGATGGTCTTTGCAATCGCTTGTTATGCATCAGAGAGTTGGACAATGACTAGAGAGGACAGAAGGAAAGTTGATGCCTTTGAGCTGTGGTGCTGGAGAAGAGTACTGAATGTACCATGGACTGCCAGGAAAACAAATAGATTCATCTTGGAGAGGATTAAACCAAGCTACTCCTTGGAGGCAAGGATTCTGGGGCTTCGTCTGACATACTTTGGACATGTTGCCAGAAGGGACGGGTCCTTGGAGAGGGACATCATGCTTGGGAGGGTGGAGGGACAGCGCAGGAGGGGAAGACCCTCTATGAGATGGATCGATTCGGTGACTGGGGTAATCGGGTTGGGTGTGTCAGAGGCAGTGTGGTTGGCGCAGGATAGAGCAGGGTTTAGGGCTGTTGTACATAGGGTCGCTATGAGTCGCAAACGACTTGACGGCACATAACAACAACAACAAGCTAAATATAGTCACTCAGCTAGGACATCTGAAATGTGCTCACACGTACTTCAATTTTCACAGCTTTAGGCTTTTGTTGATTGCCTTCAAGTTGAGCATGACTCATAGTGACCCTGTGAACAAAAGGCCTGAAACCCCTGTACAACTATCAACATTTATCAAAGTTCATAGAGTTTCCAGAGGCATATTAGTACTGCCAATTACGGTTAACTTCTGTCCACAAGCTCTCCCTCTAGATCTCCAACAAACTTGGGCAAAAGGCTCTTAGCTCTCTTTCCACAGCATAGCAGTCCCAAGCTCAGTTCTGTGTCATATCAGATCTCTGATTCTCTGCTGCTGGCTGCTATGGCTGTTGCTCTTACAGATGCTAGTCTGACTGGCACAGTAGTAATCTTCTTCTTTGCTGATGATGAGATTCTCCACTTCTGCTGTTAGATCTGCTCATAATGGTAAGAGTAGCCAAACTCGTATGAATTGGGTAAGATACTCTAGTCAATGGCCATTTTCGACAATAAACCTTTCACACCACACCAACATGTTGTGAATTATGACTCCTGACGCTAGAAGGCCAAAACCAAAACAATAAAACTAAATAAAAACCTCAAACTTGTTGCCTTTAACTTGGTTTTGTGTCATAGTGTCCTCCCTCCATTGGGGTTCTGAGGCAGTAAATAAAAATGAAAGGAGACTGTTTTTTTTCTGAAGCAGCCTCTCGTGGATTCAGACCACTAGAGTCCTGAATCCTTTGAGTTTGTAGCCCAACTTGCTACAGCCTACTCCACCAGAGTTCTTTGTACTAGGTATAAAGACATCCTTCATTGCTGTAGAATTGGACTCCTAGTTGACTCTGTAGTATGTTTATGAAGCCATTAAATTGCACAGGATATTGTGCATCTTCTACTGCAGAGCCACTGCTAGATTTGAGCTACCAGAGAAGTGCCACCTTTGGATTAGCAGTGTGATTCCCTGTGGTCTACGGCACCAGAGCTCACCTGTACTGGATATACATGCATTCTCTTTAGCCTTAGACCGACTTTTCCATTTCTGATTTATTTTGAACAGTGTTCAAAGTCTTTTCATCATTTAAGTATTAGAGTGTGGCTTTTGAGCCTTTTGTCTACTCCGTTTGAACTTCACTAATTGCAAATATTTGCTAAATTTAAAAGTAATATTTTTGTGTGACCAAAACATCTAAGAATCTTATGAGAGGGAATGTGGTGGAATTTGATTGTGTTGAAATCAGATATGTGACTCATACTTCTGTGACGTTTTTGTGTTTTAATTTAGGTTGGTTGAAGACTTTTGATGACTACTTTAGAGACAAGACTCAGTATATTTTGAATAACATGGTGGTGAAGCTGAAAGAAGACGCAAGGAGGAAATTTATGTGGTCTGAGATCTCTTACCTTTCAAAGTGGTGGGATATAATAGATAATCAGAAGAAAGATGCTGTTAAAAGGTTTGTTTTAAAACTTTATTGTTTTTACATTTGACGATATTAAAGATTGATTAAGCTGCGAAATATTACATTTTTCAGGAAGTGAAAATCTTTAACATTTTACCTGAAACTGTGAAGTATTTCTTCACATTTTTTTCCTTGATTTTGATTAATTTATGGGAAAAAATGATTAGAAATTTTTTCATTGACATCTTTGTGTTACAACTTTGTCCTCCAAGTAGACTTACTGGGTCAAAGGGGCTCAATATTTTAAAGGATTTTAAAGCATACTACTATACACACACACACATACATATACATATACATATACATATACATATACATATACATATACATGCATGTATATTGATGTACATAGGCTCTGTGGGCCTGGTGGGAAGAAACTGCTGCAATCCCAAAGGCACACAGGTTAAGTCCACTAGCTGCTTCACAGGAGAAGGATGAGCAGTCTTCTCCTGTGTGATTTACTGCTTCTCAAAATCCACTGGAGTGTCAGCTATGGGTTAGTTATGAATCAAAGGTAAACAACAACAGCAATGTATGTAAATACATAATCCTTTCTAATTGTATCTTTATATTCTTTTTAATTTTTTTAAATTTTCTACTAGTTTATTTCTAAAATTCGAATACATTGTTTTCAAGAACAAATTCTTTCGATTTCCCTCATTCCTCCACCCAACAGATTGTACAACCCCATGATTAATTTCCACCTCCCCCTGCACGTCCTCATCCCTCTGCTTCCAACCTCTCCCAGCCTTCTTGGATCCTTCTGGTTTTATACAATATTTATCCTTGTTTGTGGGACTGAGTTCACTCAGCATAATGCTCGCCAGTCTCTCCCAAGTTAGGTAATAATTTACAAAGTCATTGCTCCTTTGTGCTGTGTAGTATTTCATTGTGTTTATGTACCATAAGGTCTCAGTCCATTCGTTTGTGGTTGGACATTTGGGCTGTTTCCATATTCTTGCGATGATGAATAATACC